CCTTCACACTGGTGAGATGACTGATGCCTTTAACACAGTTATGCAATGATGCTAAGTAGACCTGGGTGAATTTTTTTCAGTTGGACTTCATTTGCCAAAAATGCCAATTTGAGCAAATGGAACTCATCTGTGAATTTGTGGGGGATTCATTCTACTGCTTTGGCTCGGTGAAAAAGCAAAACACAGCACAAAAGCAGCAGATAAAACAGTTTAAACGTGTCATTCTAATATTCTTTAAATGTTGTATTTGCATTTTTCATTTCAAAGTGTTGCTATATTTTGCTACAACATGAGGGAACTTTTTTTGTTTTTTCCTTTCTTTTCTGTTTTTTATCTTGTTTTTTGGCCAGTAAATTAAGAAAGTATTTATGGATTAGAACCCTGAAGGATTTTAAATACAATGGTCCACAAGAATGTGGTTGGGAAAGGAGAGAAAGTAACAGTCATGATCCATTGAATCCTGAAAATTTGCATAGGTCCATGTCCACCCTTCAGACCAATGATTCCTGTTAAATTTCAGAGGCATACTGCCTCCAGGAACATGAAGAAGCAATATAACCTGTCAGCTGCCTCGATGCCATCAGCTTTATTGACTGCTGTAGAGACACTAACTTTTGTCTGCATCTTTCTGTCTTTCTTTGCCACTCTGGCTAACAACAGAGAACAGGTTTGATGTGGCCCTTATTAGGATATGACTTGCATCAAAATAGGCATGGCCCAGCTGTTTGCAAACTAGGCTTAAATGGCAATTAAATTGAATTAGCTGCAATTAGTCTGAGGCAAAGTGTTAATTCAGATAATTCCATGTACCTAATGTGGGATATTGAGCCTGGTTGTCTGTAAGGTCTGGATTTGATGTGGCATAAAACTTCCTGGTGCATTCAAACTGGTTGTCTGTTTATTTAGCCTATCAGTCCTAGAATCCCTAATTTAGGAATTCAGGATGTTGTGGACTCAGGCTATATTTAAGCCCTGTGCAGGGCTGCAAACAAGAAAGGCTTTCTGCACTGCTTATTTTTACTTGTGTATATGTACAGGATTAGGCTCAGGAGCCCAAATTGTTAAGAACAGCAATACATTCACTATGTACAATCACACAGCACAAATAATTGCTTCAAAGCATGAAAATATGACTGAAAGGTGAAGGTTGGAATAATTTTGTTTTGCAGGACATGAGCAGATGTTAAATTATAATTTAGAAATTCACATTTTACTGTTATGAACTGGCTCCCACACTCCCACATTTGATAATGGTATATGTGGCAAAAATAATGCTATGGATGTCCGAGTTTGTAATTAATTCTAAACTTCATGGGATTTTTTCCCCTAGTTTCTATCAGGGGTTTTCTGAGAGATATGATTAATCTCTGCTAACACCTGATAGATCTGAAAGAACATTTGTAACAGTTTGCACTCTTAATGCAAATATCTATTAGTCTCCTTTGTTAGTTTTGTAGCTCAAAGTTGGTCAAAATAGAATGGAGAGCTCACCAATTCTGGTCACAAATCCTGATGTATCATTGCTTTAGATGATGATGAGGAGAAGAAGGAATGAAATGGGGAAGACAAGATGTGTATTTGAACAAAAGTTCACAGACTCAAGTAGGCCTATAGTAAGACACATAAAGGGGTCTGTGAAGCAGATGTCTTTCAGCAGGTAGGGACAGACCCTGGATGTTACCAACCTTCTTTCTATAAACCTGATTAAATTAGACACATTCTACTGATTCAGAAACAAAGATGAGGGGAGCATAGGTGGTCCTTGCCCAGCAGATTTTGAAATACAGGCAGTCCTTGACTTACAACATTTTGAGTTACAATGTTTTGCACATACAGCATTTATAAATTGACACCCTGTTTCAACTTTCTGACGTCAGTTTCGACTTTACAACGCTTGATCTGACCTGATGCCATGCCAGTGAACAAGTCTGCTGTCTCACCCATCTCCCCGGAGAACATCTGTCCAAACTGCTGTGGACACTTTTTCTTTAAGAAAACAGACAAGACTCCAGAAA